AAGGAGAGGAGGGAGAAAAGAAATGAGAACAAAGTTTTATCCTTATTGCTTTTGAAGCCAATTCTTTTACTGTTGGAGAACTTGATATGGTCAGAAGACAAGTTTAAGGGCTATGAATGATGAGATCAAGTTTTTACCCCAGTATTGTCTCTCGAGATACATTTGTCTTCTTATAGAATGAGACAAGCCCCATCATTTCTGCTCCTTTATCCCTTCTGAGCCTATAGCTGGAAGGTCTAATACCATGAATATTCATAGCAAGATGAAACAGACCTTTTAATTAATTACTGTATGAGTCACTTATTGGTAATAAGGCTACATAAGTCTTTTTTTTTTTTAATTGAAGTATAGGTGGCTTACAGTGTTACATTAGTTTCAGGTGTACAGCATAGTGATTCAACAAGTCTATATGTTATCCTAAGCTTACCACAGTGTAACTACCATCTGTCACCATACAATGCTATTACATTATCATTGGCTATATTCCCTATGCTGTACCTTTTATTTCCATGAATTATTCATTCCATAATTGGAAACCTGCATTTCCCACTTCCCTTCACCCATTTGCTCATTCCCCTACTCCCCTCCCCTCTGGCAGCAATACAGTTTGTTTTCTATATTTATAGGTCTATTTCTGCTTTTGTGTATTTACTTGTTTTTTAGATTCCACATATAAGTAAAATCATATGGTATATATAATTTCCTTATCCATTCATTAGTCAATGGACACATGAGTTGCTTCCATATCTTGGCTATTGTAAATAATGCTGCCATAAATATAAGGGTACATGTATCTTTTCAAATTAGTGTTTACATCCTCTTGGGTAAATATCCAGTAGTGAAATTACTGGATCATATGGTATTTATTTCTATTTTTAATTTTTTGAGGAAACCACACTGATTTTTATAGTGGCTGCACCAATTTACATTTCCCACCAATCTACATTATGTTGTTGTTAGGAATGTGCACAAGGGTTCCCTTTTTTTCCACATTCTTGTCAACACTTGTTATTTCTTATCTTTTCTCCTGTTAATTTTCATATAGTAACTATTCTTTTCTATTTTGTCTCTTCTGAAAGGATTAAACAGCCCTCCATTTGAGGCATGTCCTGCTTCCCTTTTTCCTCACTTGAAATCATATTATTTTGTTACAGTGTAAGAGTCTCTGACAGTGTGAGCATATTCAATATCAGAAAGAGTCTAGAATCCTTATTGATTACTTTTAAAGCCTTCAAGAATACACATATTCTGGAGCAGCTAAAAGAAAAGAGTGTGGAAGTGACACAGATGAGGGGAATCCATGGGACCAAGAGAGACATTGTAGACACAGCAACGCATAGAGACATGCAGATGTTAAGGCTAGAGGCATTTTATAGTGGGCTATATGGGAAAATGTTAGAAATATTTTTAAAAATTTTTCCAGTATAAATGATTTTTATATGTTTCCTTGTTATATAAACTGAAATATTATTTTAAAAAATCTTGGCTAAGATTCTAAATAACTGCATTATTTTGTCAGTCTCTGTTCACTAGAATAAATCATTTTGGGCTTCTTTAAAAGGGGAAAATTTTAGCAATTTTGCTTTTGCTTGTGAATTCACAGAAGGAAAGTAATTCTTAGAGCAAAGCTTCAAAGATTCAATATAAGATAAACAATTCTTTTCATCACACTTAATATTAAATATAACAGAACTACAGGCGGAATAATTCATTTTAACATTAAAATGAAGCACAACTTCTTTAGTCTGATTACTTCAGAATGTGAAAATACTAAAGGCCCCCAAAATAAGTAACAATTAGTTAAAACTTGAAATTAGCAAAGAAAATATTTGGAGAATTTATAGATAGATTTTTCTGTCATTTATATTATAGTGTTCTTATCTGTCTTCAGATAAGCAGAAGAAATATAATAGTCATTTAAAGGAAGCTGTGAAAAATGCAAGGCATGAGAACTTTGTTGTGATGATTTTTGCAAGGTGAACAAGATCCTAATTCTTAGTTGTTCACATCAGAAATAATTTGACATTCTTTTATTCAACAAAGTATTCATTGAGCACCTACTGTGTACTTGACATTGTTTTAGCCCCTTGGGTTACAGCAGTGACACAGGGCAGTGGAGAAAGTAAAGAAGGAAAGGAAGTTTGGAAGTGGCAACAAGTAGTGGTTTTGCAGTTTTCCATGTAAGAGTCAGAAAGGACCTCACTGTAAACATGGCAGTAAGACATAGTCCCTCAGGACATGTGAGGTTGAGCCATGAACCTGGGGAAGAACATTCCAGATAAAGTGAATAACAGGTACAAATGTCCTGGGGCAGAAACATGCTGGTCATATTTAAGGAGCAGGAAGGAAGTCACTGAGGCTGGAGTGAAGTGATTGAGGGAGTCTGTGGAGATGAGGTCGGAAAGATCACAGAGGCCAGATTGGTAGGACCTCATCGATTAATAAGTACTATGGCTTTAATTGTAAGTGATGTGAAGCCTCACCCACAGAAGGATATGAGAGAAGAATGACAAGATCTGACTTTTATTCTCAAAGGAATATTCGGTTCCTAGGTTAGGAAGAGATTAGAAGGAAATACAGGCAGAAGCAGGGAGACCTGTTAAGGGATTACAGCAGGGATTCAGGTGGGGGATGATGGTGGCTCGACCAATTTATGGTAGTTGTGGTAGCAGTGAAGGTGCAAAGTGGTGGCATTCTGGATTTATTGTGAAAGCAGAGCCAACAGAACTTGCTGATAAATTGGTTGTAGTTTGTGAGAGATGTCAAAACGACTCTAAGGACTTTAACTTGAGCAAATAGTAGGATGAAGGTGCTATTTCCTGACATGAGAAATATTGTAAAAGAAGCAGGTTTAGGGGGCAATAATCAGAAGTTTGATTTGGTGTATCTTAAGTTTGTGATGCCTATTCAATTTCTACTAGAGTTGTTGAGTAATCAGTTATACATATGCCTCTGGATTTTAGGGAAATTTCCAAGCTGGAGTTATAAATATAGAAGAGAAAGACATGTAAGTGATATTTAAAGCCACAGGGCTGGAAATAGAAAAGAGAAGAGGTGTAGGAATGAATTCTAGGGCAATGCTAAGAGACTGGGGAGAAGAGACTGAGAAGTCAGACTGCAAGAAGTATCACATCATTATTAATAACTTTCTTTCAGAGGACATTGGCAATGTATAGGCTCTAGGGGCCGTAGGTGTTTCTTTTACTTTTGGTAGGATTCACCTAGTCATTTGCTACTTACCCATCACTTGACCTAAATCTTAAATTTTTGCTCTTACTCACTCTCTCCCCTCCCTTCATGCCTGCATCACATTTGTTCTGAATACTCTTATTGTTAGTGCAACTTCATCTCACTATAAAATGCATTTTTGAAAACTGTCAAAAGGAATTTGGGGATTTTATCTGGTGAATAAAATGGGTGACCAGTTTGGTTAATACCACTTTTGATCAAATATTAGGCATGACTATTGAGTAATACCACCAAGTTTACTGTGTGGTTTATGTGCCAGATCTAAAACAACATCAACAGGCATGTTCTAAAACCGTTTTGAGCAATGACATGACTGGAATAAATATTTCCAAGAGGACTATTTTCAATTAATAATCACATATCATATACAAATGTAAGTTCTGTCAAATAGATTAACACCATTTCTTAACGTTCTATTACCTTATCACAAATATTTATGTAGATGCTTAAAGTCTATGAACACGCTGATAGCCATAAATAATATCTCATTGAATCTTCATTTCCCAGTCTAAGAATTTCTTAAACAACTCCTATTTTCATTTAAGATGATTATCTTATCAAAAGCAATTGAAAATAATTATTTTAATAAGTAAAATGTCTACACAAACACATCTACTAATATTTGCCCAGCTCTTACAAAAATTGAGGATTATGAACACCACAGATTTACAAACAAACATCTTTGGATATCTGGCTAGTACTAAGTTTGTACAGGATGTATCTCCTGCAAATTATGCCAACTATTTGTTCATTGAACAGGTATTTATTAAATTCTAGTGTGTTCCAGATACACGTCATAATGAGAAGAGTTTGCTCTTTTAAGTCTTTCCAAGGACGTCGTGAGAGACTTATATGCATAAGGGATGGAGCCAAATAGTGCTACTGAGTTTCTCTATATTGAGCGGTCTCCTGGGGAGTTTTACCACATGGAGAACCTGTTTTGAGTAGATTAAGGGAAGACTGGAGAAGTAGCTAGGCTTAGAGTTACCCCTTTCTGTATACTGCACACAGACTGGGACCATTAATCAATTACACGGTGATGCAAAAACCTCCCTCTCTTAATGACAACATTCCAATTGCTCTCCAGGCCTCTGCCTGGACCCATCTTCAGAGAGGAATGGGCTATCATGGAACAGCTTTTAGTTTTCTTTAAAAGCTAACTACCATTGCTGTCCTAGGTTCTGGGATTCAAAGATGGGGTTCCTCTCCTCAAAAAAAATATTATTATTTTTTGAGGGGAAAGATATATCTTGAGTAATTACATCAGAACATGGTAACTGTTCCGGTGGTAGAAACTCAACATACTCAGTGGGCATCTGGGGGGAAAGCCTAAGAGTTACTGACTTTACAGAGAAAGTGCTGACATTATGCAAAGAGATGAGTTAATCTTCCACTAAACTCAGCAGGATGAGGCAGATGTGAATTCTTGGGACCTAGCTTTTTTTCTCTGGATCTTAATACTCTACCTATTCCTGCATTTTCAAACCTTTTTCACTAGATTTGGTCTGACACTTCATTGTGAATAAAGTCTAATTTTCATCCTAGGACATTTCCTGTAAAATATTTTATAGTCTTTACCCCAGGGATCACCATCATACTGAGGCAGAACATTGTAATTGGCCCATTGTTCCTCACTTAAACTTGGTGGCTGGCCCCATTCCTCTCACTCATGTTGACATTAATTGCTAGAAGGAGGAAAGTGATTTCTAAATGTAGGTTTACATGTTTCTTATTAGAAATAATAAACTTACAATGTTTTTCATGTGTTTCACTAGGATGGTCAGCTTCGCATCCTCATGAGATATCACTAACTGCACCTTAGGCGTCTTGTCAGGAAACTTCTCACCTGATAAAGCAATAGAATTTCAGTGGGTTAAATTGGAAGTGGTTCATCACAGGATAAATTAAACATTTAAAGACTAAAATGAAACCAATGTATAACGTGCAAAAGAAACATTCTTCAGATCACGCAGAAAACATAATACTCTTTAAGAAAACTGAGTTGTTTAAAGATGGGATTTGTGTCTAATCATCCTGAACCAAAACTTCCTCCTCATATTTTGTGTTTTTGATTGATTTTGTGTTTGTTTTGATTATTTTCCCAATTATTTAGTGCCATTTTTGGCTTCAGTTTTCTCAACATTTTTGGCTTCAGTTTTCTCAACATTCACTACAATAAGCTTAAGTATTAGAGAGATGAAGTGTTGGCTTTAAAAGTCAGTGAGCCTGGGGTTCAGGTCCCAGAACTATACTTAAGACTGTGCTATGTGTGTATAATTAACTTATGACTAAGTTAATTGACTTCCTTAAAATGGAGATAATAGTTACCTTCTTCAGGATCGCTGAGATGATCAACTGAGAAATTAAAAAGTTTTCACAATGTAATCTCTCAATAAATGTTTGCAATTAGTAATAGTTTTCTCCATATATTTGCACTCATCTCTTCCTGTCTATTTCCATAGCTCCTATTTCAGACTCTTAAGAATCTCTTGTCTGAACTCCTAGAACATTCTCTTCTCCTCTCCTAAAGCCCAAATCTATTTGTACACAATTAACCAGTATATTCTTCCTACAGCAACTTCTCTAAAATTACTCTTTTGATCAAAGTACTGTTCATAGCTTTCCAGTGCTTATGGAAAAAAAAAATCTGAATTTCTCAGACTTATATTGTTGCTTCTTATTGAATCTTTCTGTTTTTTAATTTCCCATTGTTACTATTCCATGCTGTAGTCTGTATGTTCAATTCTACAAACATGCTCTGCTATTTCCTTCCAGTCATTGCTCATATTATTCTCTTTATTTGAAATGACCTCTTCCACCATTTTTGGCTATTGAACTTTTATCTTTCTAAAAGGCCTAATTAAAATGCTAAATAACTTCTGTTGTCACCTCCCTTTGCACTCCCTTAGCACAGCCCTTATTACTTAATATTTGTATCATAATTATTATTTTAACATGCCTCAATTTGCTTAGTGAATTATTATCTCCCTCAAGGCTTACTTTTTTCCTATATCCCCAAGGGATATATAAATCAGTGCCTGCTCCATAATGTCACACCAAACATGTATTTAATAACAAAAGTAGTCTTATTTTTTTCAAGTTATATTGTTCCATCATTAAAATTAAAGCTTTGGTTTTTTAATTAAAAATTTCTGGTTTATAGCCCCCAAATTAAGCATAATTTGTAGTTTTTCTGCTGTTTCCACTGGTTACTCTGGTTGCATGTTCTCTGAGGGAAGTTAGAGAGAAGTTTATTAGTAACAAGAAATTTGGCAATGTTCTACTGTGGGCTCATTGTGGTCCACAATTGTTTTCTGAAAGTCAGTCTCAGCTCTCTAATCCTCTTTAAACTTTGATAATTAAACCTTACTGGTATGTTTCCTTCTCTAAAGATTTTTACATGTTTGTAAAAGTAGGTTTACACATTGTATGTAGGTAATATTAATTAATGCTATTGTTAACGTGGATTATGACATTGAAATAATTAAAATTGGCATTGTTTCTTACAATTGAAATGGTAATCACATAAAAATAATAAAAATATTCTTCCTTAAAATATTTTTATTTGAATGACTGAGAGAAATTGTGAGTTAGAGATACTGAGATAATTCTGAATGTAGTACTGAGGTAAATTGCATTTATAGTAAAAAAATATAATTGGATTTTTGGTATAAGCATGTTAAAAATGCTGATGACTTTTTGATGCACAATGAACATTATTTTTGAATTAAAGTATGAAAAGATTACTACATAGAAACTCAATGTGTTTAATCAGAGGAGTTTTAATTTGAAGGTGAGAAATTAGCATAAATTTATGATTGTCTAAATAATAACCATATAACTGTTACTTGAACTGACTGAAGTGATATTCCACTCTGAAACTCTAGTGCGAGATTAGTGACCAGTATCCGTCAATCACGGCAGAGTTCAGAATTCAGTGAAAATTCAGGCCACCAGGAAGTTTTAATAGTCAATGTGGTAATAGTAGAGGTACTTAGTATTTCTAGAACTCTTACTGTATGCCAAACATTGGGCTAAGAGCTTTATGTACATGAACTAACTCAATACTCAAAGCAAGTCTATAAAGTTTGTGTTACTTCTGTTTTACACATGAGGAAACAAAGGCATTTGGTCAAAGGTCATGTAGACAATAAACCATGCAGGGTTAAATGATCTCTAAAGTCTATGTTCTTAAATCATGCTGTAAAGGGGCAAAGAAGGGGCAATAATCTAAGGGAAAGAGTTAAATGAAGAACCCAGAGAAGAAGAATTTTGAGAATAGTTTCATATGGACAAGAAGATGGCTAGAATATTTTGGTTTTCTGATTCAAGTTAGTCTGGAGAATCTGATTATGCTTAATCTGACCATTTATAATAACTTTAAGAGCTGTGAAAATATTGATCCTATAGCATGATTGTGTCGAAATGTTTGAATGCATGACACTGTAGCAGCTAATATAGCACTTATTATGCACAGTGTGTCCATTAATGTTAAAAAAGCAGCATTTCAAAATCTTTTTACAGATGATAATATATTCATATAACTAAAAAATAAAAATTTATTTTAAAAGTATACAGTAAAACATCTTTATCTCATTCCTAACACCTATCCACCCAGTTCCCCCACCATTATTTCATTAGCTTCCCATATATCCCTCCAGAGGGACACATATCCTTCCAGTTTCTCCATATAAGCAAAAATGAATAAGTACTTTTACTGCCCCCTCCCTGCTTTTCCTCAAAAGGAATAGCACATTTCCTAGCACAAAGATCTTGGAGAAATTTTTATAATCATACAAACTTCTTTATTTTTTAAAATATATTTGCATATTATTCCATTATGTGAAATGCCATAATTTATTTAATTAGTTCCCCATTGATGGGCATGTGGGTTGTTTCCAAAGTTTTCCAGCTGTTACAAACCATGCTGCAACAAACAGCTTTGTATGCATGTCATTTTGTACCTGTGCACAAATATTATAGGATAAATTTCCAGTAGCAGAATTGCTGGTCGAAGGGTATTAGCATTTGTAGTTTTGATAAATGCTGCCAAATCACCTTCCATGGAGGTTGTACCAAATTGCATTACCACTAGCAGTGTATAAGAGTGTCTGCTGATTTGTAACCAAGTTTATTAATTAAATTTTTGAATTTTTGCCAATCTGATGAGTTAAAATAATACCAGTGTAATTTTGATTTGCATTTTTATTATGAGTGAGTTTGAGGATGCTTTCTTTTGTTAAAAAGAAGGTATTTGTTAGATATTTGTGTACTATGACAATAAAAAGGAAATATTTTTTTGTGGATATCATTCTTCTTTAGATACATGCTATAAACTGTAAGAAATGACCTTATTTACTTATGTTTATGGTTTAGCTATATAAGCAAAGTGTCTTAGAGAGTGATGCCAAATGAGTAAAATATAGGGGTATGAGAGAGGTACAATCCTCATATGTTAATTTGGAGCTGTGAGTACAGAGAAATGCATAGTGGGGAAGTGAGTTCTCAGTTTAAAGTTACTTCAGTTTAACAGAAGCAGCAGGCACACACACACATAAATATACAACTTAAGCAATTACACTATTCAACTTGGTCTGGTTGTATAGAATTATGTACCTAAGGGTGGGTAACTACAGTGTCAGATACAAGCAGAAGTGATAAGCAGATGGGCCTAATCTTAAAGGCAGAGAATCAGAAGGAAATATGGATAAAATAAAGACTGGGAATTGCAAAGGAAAGTGGGGTGAGGTCTAGCAAATTACAGGCTTGCAAATCTTGTGTGAGATAAAAACTGGTCTCAGTATTGGATAGCTATTGGCAATGGCATTTTATTATGAATGCTTAAATTTGATGGGACATTCAAAGAGAGTTCCTGCCAATCTAGGAGAAATGTTAGAAAAGTTAATTAGAATTAACACACATTTGGCAGACAATAGGGTGGATAATTGTGCTGGGCTAGTTTTGGGATTCAGGTAATAGACTTCATGAGGGAGGTAGAGTAATTACTGAGCTTTAAAAGATAAGAGTAAAACTGCGAGATAATTCATAATCATTGTTATTGCCTAATATTTATTTTTGTTGCTTCCTAAGCTGTTGAGTAAACTGGAAGACCTACCTGCAGGGGGAAAACAGGAACTCTGTCTCTGAAATGCAATTCCACCTCAATGCACAATTAACAGAAATGAGTTAATAGTGTGACACCATGTAGTTATTATAATTGGACAAACATACATCAGTTTAATTTAACTTGAACATTTTCTAAGGGGTTAAAAAGCTTTGGAAATAGGAAAGACCCTTAAAGTTTATTCTTTAAAAAGATTTTAATTTGAAAGTTGAAAAAAATATAGTTGTGATATTTTTTGCACAATTATGTTGAAACTCAAAAATTGTACATAATAATACTGATGAAATTACTTGCCTAGGTCCATGAGCGATGATTCTTCAATTGTTTGTTGAACTGGCTCGGAGAGGAAAAAACTAACCACACAACCACTCTGAAAAATGAGACAAAGTATAATATTTCTTCATATCTTATATTTATTTATTGCTCCCATTCACAGGTGGGACCCCTGTGATGGGGTGGATGGACCCCTAATCCAATATGACTGGTATCTTTATAAAAAGGGGAAATTTAGATACAGACATTCATATAGGAAAGATAATGTGAAGAGACACAAGCAGAAGATGGTCTTTTATAATTCAAGGAGAGAGGCCTGGAATAAATTTTTCCGTCGCAGCTATCAGAAGGAAACAACCTTGTGGACACCTTGATTTCAGACTTTCAGATTCCAAAAATGGGAGACACTGTATTTCTGTTGTTTAAATCACCCAGTGTGGGGTACTTTGTTATGGAAGCCCAAGCTAACACAGCACCCAATGGTGATCCCTTCATCTATGACCTAGATTCTAGTCCTTCCTCCTCAGGAACCTTGTGGAATATCTCAATCTCTACTTTAGTACCTTTACCTTCTTCCTTTCTTTCTCACCAGTGTAAAGAAGTCTCTCCATTAATAACTAGCAAACAGAGGAGTCAACCCACATAAAATATACTCACACATGAATAATACCTTGTCACTAATGTCCCTTTCCGATCCTGTGTTATTTTCCCCCTCCTTGACAAAACTTATGGAAAGAGTTGCCAACATTCATACTGGTTCCACTTCTTCAATTTCAACTCACTTTATGATCTACAACACTCAGGTTTCTGCCACTAATTGTCCTCCAAAAATGTTCTTACCATCATTTTCAACAACTTTTTCTTTTCAAATGTCTTTTTTCCCCCAAATCCAATGGGGTTTCTTGGCTTTATTTTTTTAAAGATTTTTATTTATTTATTTGAGAGAGAGTGAGAGAGATCACAGAAAGAGATGGAGACAACATCTATGTAGCAGTTTTATGCATCGTAAATTTGTTAATTACTAATTTTGATCTCTATGTATTGATCTCTTGTGAGCTTGCTTAGTAAGAATCTATCCTCAAGAAATGTATCCATATTCAGGATGCTGACCAAACCAAGTTTACTTATTTTGAAAGCTTGAAGTCAAACTTCAGACTGTGCAGAATTTGTTGAAGAAAATTTGACCTTCTTTGGCCTTTTGACAACGAGTCAATTATTCTTCTCTGGAGACATTTTGGCCTCACCACCCAATGGTTATTAAACTTCAATAGTAGGCAGAATATCTTCCCAATTAGTGTCTGAAATGTCACCACTAGCTAATTATTCCCTTGTGTTTACACTGTCATATCCTTGAAATCCTCATTTGTAATTCCGGGTGTGGGTGACATACTAAATACTAATTCCTTATTGTAACAAGATTGTTTTCATTCTTGAGGAGAGACATGATTCAGTGTCACTGGAGGCAGAAATCAACAAGAGCGATGAAGAGGATAAGAAAAGTAATGTTGCTGGATCTCAAAATAATTGATTTTAAAATTTCCTCCAACTTGACTTTACTCATGTGCATGCCTCCCACTGCTTTTTAGCACATTGCACCACTGGGTAGTTTGAGTTATAGAAATGTCAGTAAGTATAATTGCTCTTACTGATAACTTAGATCAATGTTCTCAGTTGGATTTGTATTGAGTCCTAAGCAATGTGGCTACATTTAGTTGTATAAGTTGTATACTGAGCAAATCTACAGGTGCCATTTTTACATGGACTGTAAGTATAATCCTACTTAGCAGTATTGCCCATATGTAGGCCTGGCAGATATACCAAATAAAAACAGAGGATGTCCATGCAATATTTGCAACATACTTATTCTCAAAAAATATTTGTTTATCTCAAATTCAAATTTAACTGGACTGCATTTTATCTCATTTCCTTACAATATGAGGTGCCTAGAAAATGTGTGGGCACACTTTTGGTTGTCTCAGGGGATGCAACTGGCAATTAATGGGCAAGCCACTTATTCTAAATGTCTTGCAATACACCTAGGAGATTCTCACATTATGAGGAATTTTGCTTTCCTGCATAATTCTTCAAAGGGTAATAGTTTCCCAGGTTAGAAAAAAAAAATCTGAATTTAATTACTTTATTCTAGAAGTGAGAAAACTGAATACCAGATAGCATAAGTGAGTCACTGATTGAAATTAGTACCAAAAAAAAAAAGTCCCCAAATAAAGAGTGGTAGAGTGTAGTCAGTAAGCCAGGTCCACCTGTGTTACCATCGCCAAAGGCCTATAGATGTGAAGAATGCATATGGGGGACAGGTAGGATATGTAGGTAGAGAGAGCTCTGTAGGAGTCCTAGAGCATGCTAGCTCTACATAAGCTTGAAACTACTGTGACCTATTGATGAATTTTAAGCAGAAAAGCATCACAATTAGATATTTTTGGAAAGATGACAGTGCAGCATTGTGGAGGAAAGAAAAAAACAGCAGCCAGCTTTGGAGAATATCACCAGCAAAATTCCTCATATGCTCAATATATTGTATTTTCTGAGCACTCCATTCTGCTTTCCCATTAAATCTCTAAAATGGCATTTGTGTTCTTTCCCATCCTTCTTTAACCCCAGTCCTGGTTGGGAGGTAAGTATCCTCCTTTCTTCTCCTTTGTTTTTCTAACCTCCATTCATTCTTCTTTTATAAAAATACCCTGCTTTGAAGATCATGTCTGCTGACTATACTGCCCTCCCCACTTGCTGTTTCACTTGTCTGCTGATCTCTAGGTCACTGACCTTCATTTCTTGAACATTTTCCGCCTTGGAACATTGTTGTTGTCTTCAATAGTACTTGTCATAATTCACGCCTATTTTAATATTCACACAAATTATCCTTCCTTGTGGTACCTTCTTTGTTTTTGAACTTCTCTCGTTCATTAATCTTGTTCTGCATCTCACTCAGCCACTCACTCCTCTGCCCTTTATCATGTCTTGATCCGTGAAGAAATCTCTTCCATTATCTTGATTTCTAGCTGCCTAGTCTACCGTCACCATCTTCCTCCTTTCCAGCTCATTCCCTCTAGTTATACAACTCAGACAATCTTTTGACTCTAAGACCTTTTCACTGGCCTTAACTCCTTTCATATTCTCATGTTCCTTCTTGGACAATTTGGATCCAATAGTTGATATTAATAACACTATTCCATATTTCTTTCAACTTGTTTGTTCCCCTCTCCTTTTATTTTATTAAATATTTGTCAAAAACCCAACTTGGGTCATTCTCTGCCAACTCCGCAACTGTAGCAGGCCTGCTGAATGTTCCTGGAGAAAAGCACTCAACCACACTCACTGGTCTTACTATCACCTCATGCCCACAATCCTCAAGTTGGTGTTTAAGATTTTCTAGAAAGCTATACATGTCAGTAGTCCATTTATTCTTCTATTCATCTATAGGTCTATTTAATACTTATCCCTGCTCCTCAACATGCCAACACACTTTCCCCCTCTTTCAGTCTTCTCAAGGCTGTCTTCTTGTTGGCAGAAAAAATAGAAACAGAAAAGAATTTCTATAAGCTTCCACCAACACATCTGTCATTTTGCCTTACTTCTGTCCTTTCCTCTATTCCATGGGTGGCCTGTTTGTGCTTTAATCTGAGACTGATTTGGGCACTAGATCCCATGCTCTGTTCTCTACTCAAGGTCAACACTTTGCTCTCTGGCTAAGTTCTCATTTCTCTCAACATCAATATTTGCTTCTTCAATGGATCTTCCTAGCAGCATACATATATGCTATGACTTATTTCAATAAACAAAATTCCTGACCTACATTTCCCTGCATACTATCTTATTCCTGTTCATCCTTAGAGCAAAGCCCCTTCAAGGATAATTTTCTACTTTCTATCCCAAATTCCTCTCTTCATATTCTCTTTTGAGCCTATTTTAATCACGGTTTTGTTCCTAACACTCCCATCAAATTGTTCTTGTTAGATTCACTAATGATATCCATTTTGTTAAATCCAGTGGCCAATTCCCAAATTTTGACCTATCAGTAGTATTTGAAATGGCTGATTTTTCCTTCTTTAAAATAGGTTTTTCTCTTGGATTCTAAGCATAAGATGCTTCTGGTCTCCAACAGGTTGCTTTTTCTCAGCTTCTCTTGTTGATTCTCTCCCATCCTCTCAAACTTTAAAATTGGTGTGCTGCATGGTCTAGCCCTCAGATCTCTTCTCTTTTATATTTATATTTCACCTTAAGTAATCTCATCCAATCTCATGGCTTTGAAAACCAATTATTTGTTGACAACTCCAATATTTTTATTTCCAGCCTCTCTTTTTCCCTCAACTCAAGACATTCAATTTTCCACTTGACATCTTTAATTAGAAATTTCATATGGAACTCAAACTTAGTATATTTTGATCTAAATTCCTGTTTGCCCCCACTCTCTACTGTCCTCCTACAGTTTTCCCCATCACAGCAAATACTCAACCAATATTAGCTCGTATGGCCATAACGGTGGGTTAGTGATTGGCATTTATCCTGAATGGTCAGTGCCTGTGCCCTAATGCTTGTAAATATTTGAAACATCCCTCCTATGTGGAACATTATATATTTGGTGAATAAGTTAATAAAAGTTTGGGATTTGTTCAGGGACGCTAAACTTACTGGTCTTTGATATATCAGTTGTTCCAGTAAATGCATTAGGCTATGTTAAATGCTTTATGAGGTTATTATATATACTGCTAGAGTAGATGTTTATCTAACTAATAATGGTTTAAAAATGTCTAATAATGTACTTTAAATTTACAAATACAGTCAATAAAGAGCAAATTTGAAAGCCAATTGAACAATTTTAAAATTAAAGTCTGTATCAGCTTATTTTTTGTTGAATTCAGAAATATTATTAATATGTTTTTTGCCAATTATATTATAAAGCCATTTGCAATTTAAAATGATTGATTTTTGAGAAAGTTGATAAATTCAAAGTTGCTGAAAACTTAAGTGTTTTTCTCATATCATATGAATATATTCTTACTCTCAAAGACTACAGAGACTTAAAGTATTTTTGAAGATCAGAAGTAATGTAATATAACACTGAGATCAATTTTTTCTTAC